TTAAAAAAATCCACTTTTAAAATTACAAGTGAAAGTGAAAGAAAAACTTTTGAACGAAAAAAAAAAGTTTCGTTTTGAATATTTTCGTAGTTAAAACTACGAAATCTGCGAAACTTTCAATATAAAATTGCATAATTTTTAGAGCTACAATATTTGTTTTTTGTGTGTAACAATGCTCCTCACCGGTTCCAACTCTTTCCTGCCGAATGGCTAGATTTCTGGTCTGCCTTGGAGGGCATTATAAAACATTAAAACACAGGACTTTTATTACCCTATGGATCACAAAACACCGAAAGTTCACACACCCACCACTTCCCGCGTCATCATCAATCCGATTTATCCTTGCGATTTCAAACCTAAACATACAAGGTGTCAGAAATACCGGGTTGCCGGAATGGGTATTTTACAAACAATCGCAGCTTGCTCTATGACCGGCACAATCGGCATACTTGCGGCACACTGACAAAAAAGATGACCCAAGATTGGTGTGCGGAGTGACCTACCGCTTGGGTTTCGAAGACATACGAAAGGCAGAAGTCGTCAGTCCGAATGAGAAAATTGAAACATGTGTTGTTCGTTTTAAAAGGCAGGTGACCTACTGTGATTACGGTGATCAAGCAGACAACATGGTTGTAGACCAAATAATCGATGAATTTAAAGGTCCCGCCATTTATACCCTTCGAAGAGTGAGAACACCCTGCAATGACGCATCCCTTTGTCAATCAAAATTGAAAAAATTAACCCTCCGTTACTCGCGCCAACTTTTATAACACGAGTACTCGCGCGTTGTACTTTGTACAACAGTGTGATTTTTCCATTGCCATTTTGCAGCCGAGCTACCAATCAATATGAAACCAACGGGCATTCATTAAAAAACTTGCTAAAATTTTATCACAGTTAACCCACAAAAATGCGGATAATAGAGAAAATGTGAATGGAAACCGCGTAAACAGTGTCCGTACTACGTGGGATTTGACTTAATTGGTTACAACACGGAAAATCTCGAGATCATGACCAGATAGAAAATTACTGTCGTCGACAAAGTTGTTCAGAAGGTCAATGCCTTTTCGTTGGTGGACAGTAGTTCAGCGTTTTGTCACTTCGCGGCACTAGTGTACATTTAAAATTCTCGCATATATAAAATATTTCTAGATCCTTACCATATAAAAAGTTACTGTCTTCGGCAAACTTGTTCAGGGTGTCAAGTAGTTTTGGCTGGTGGACAGTAGTTCAGAATTTTCTCACTACACGGCGCTAGTATAAACGTGAAATTCTCATATAAAATATCTCGAGATCCTGACCAGATAGAAAGTTACTGTCTTAGGCAAAGCTGTTCAGGAGATCATAGCTTTTTTGCTGATTAACAGTAGTTCAAAATCTTCTCACTAGGTAGTGCTCGTATACATGTTAAGTTCTCGCATGTGATACATCACTAGATCCTGACGAGATAAAGAATAAATGTCTTTGGCAAAGTTTTTCAGGAAGTCAATATCTTTTCGTTGGTGGACAGTTGTTCAGAATTTTCTCCCTACTCGGTGCTAGTATACACATGCAATTTTCGCATATACAATAGCTCGAGATCCTGAGCAGATAGAAAGTTACTGTTTTCGGCAAACTTGTTCAGGAGGTCAAGACTTTTTGGCTGGTGGACAGTAGCCTAGAAATGTTTCACCACATGGCGCTAGTAAACGTGTACAATTCTCGCGTATGCTAAGCTCGAGATTCTGAACAGGTAGAAAATTACTCAGGGCTATTCTGCGCGGCGTGTGAGGTGAAGTGACAGTGAAGTGATGGTGAAGTGACAATTGTCACCTCGGGTGAGGTGACTCTCCATTTGATTTGCACGGAGAGTCACCTCACCCGAGGTGACAATTGTCACTTCACAAGTGAGAGCGTGTCACCTCACCTCACACGCCGCGCAGAATAGGCCTGACTGTCTTCGAAAAAGTTGTTCATGAGGTCAATGCCTATTGCTTGGTGCACAATAGTTCAGAATTTTCACACTACGTGGCGCTAGTATACACGCGAAATTCTCGCATGTGAAATATCTCGAGATTCTGATCAGATAGATTTCTCTAGTGGACAGTAGTTCAAAATTTTCTCACTACGTAGCGCTAGAATACACGTGAAATTCTCGCATGTGGTTTGTTTCGAGATCCTGACCAGATAGAAAGTTACTGTCTTCGACAAAGTTGTTCAGGAGGTCAAAACATTTTTAGCTGGTAAACAGTAGTTAAGAATTTTCTCACCACGTGGCATAGATGTACACTTCTCGCATATGCTATATTTCGAGATCCTAATCAGATAGAAAATTACTGTCGACAACAAAGTTATTCAGGAGGTCAAAGTATTTTGGCTGGTGAACAATAGTTTAGAATTTTCTCATAAGTTACTGTCTTGAACAAAGTTGTTCAAGAGTTTAACTTTCTATCTGCCCAGACAACCAGAATGCACGTATATTCAAAGTTGTTTTCGTGATATACAAACATATATACAAACAAACAATTCGTATAGAATGCAAAGAAATGGCTTATACGTACAAAAGTGGAGGCCATATACGTGCATATTTTAATTTAATTTTAAACGAGTTGATTTAACATCATATACGATTTAATCTGTAATAACAAATTCATTTTGAAATGTCTTGCGATGTAATCCGATTTAATTTGTGATACAGTACGACGGTAAAAAGAGTCATCGCATTTAAGTCGGAAATTTGCATTCTATACGATTTAATTTAAACATAATCCGAGGTATGCCATTCTTATATGCGATTTTGACTTAAACTGTAGCAATTTACGATACTATCTGTACATTGTTATACGACTTCTGGTTGTCTGGGTGGTCAAGAACGTGAGATATTTTATATGCGAGAATTTCACATGTATACTAGCATCATGAAGGGAGAAAATTCTGGACCAGCCAAAAGACCTTGACCTCATGAACAACTTTCTATCTGATCAGGATCTGATGTGAAAACTGGTGTGAAAATTATTAACTACTGTTTACCGAGAGAGAGAAGGATTAGTATTTTCCATTTAATTCCACTACTTTATTTGCTTATCCTTGACAGATACGCGTATTTCGTCTACAATGTGCAGACTTCTTCAGTGTCTTGTACTAATACTCGACTATTAGTACAAGACACTGAAGAAGTCTGCACATTGTAGACGAAATACGCGTATCTGTCAAGGATAAGCAAATAAAGTAGTGGAATTAAATGGAAAATACTAATCCTTCTCTCTCTCATTATACAGGTATTCCACTAAGATGCCCACATTCATCAGGACTGTTTACCAGCCAAAAATTCTTGACCCCCTAAACAACTTTGCCGAGGACAGCAACTTTCTAGCTGATCAAGATCTCGAGCTATTGAATATGGGAGAAAGGCACGTATATACTAGCACCCCATAGTGAGAAAATTCTAAACTATTGTCACCCAACAAAAAGATCTTGACTTCCTGAAAAACTTTGCAGAATACATTTACTTTCTATCTGGTCAGGATCTAGAAATATTTTATATGCAAGAGTTTCACATCTATAGTAGCGCCGCAAAGTGAGAAAACTCTGAACTACAGTCCAGCTGCGAAAAAGTCTTGACATCCTGAACAACTATGCCGAAGACAGTACCTTTCTATCTGGTTGAGAACTCGAGTTATTTTAAATGAGAATTTCACGTGTATATTAGCGTCGCGTAGTGAGCAAATTCTGAACTATTGAGCACCAAGCAATAGGCTTTGATCTCCTGAACAACTTTGTGAAATACAGTATCTTTTTATCTGGTCAGGATCTCGAGATATATCACATGCGAGAATTTCACATGTATACTAACGCTACGTAGTGAGAAAATTCTGAACTACTGTCCGCCAGCGACAAGGCTATGATCTCCTTATCAACTTTGTCAGAGACAGCAACTTTCTATCTTGTCAGAATCTTGATATATTCTATGTTGTAATCAATTAAGTCAAATCCCACGTAGTATGGTCACAGTTTTCGCGGTTTCCATTTACATTTTCCCTATTATCCGCATTTTTTAGGTGTTTGCTGTAATCAAAGTTTAGCTTGTTTAGATCAAAACAAGTTTTTTGAGGACTACTCGTTGGTTTCAGATCGATTGGTAACTCAGCAACAAAATGGCAATGGAAAACTCATGTGTGTTGTACAAAGTACAACAGCGCGAGTAACGGAGGGTTAAGCAATGACACCGATAATGACCATGCATCAGAAACCTAGTCTCAACCACTTCAAACTAGATGAAGATCACATAGATGAAGATTAACTAACTCATTTTTTTACAATGACCAACTAGACAACGTTAAATGAAGTTCGAAGAAATTCCATTAAAATCAAAACAACATTCCATTTTTTTTTCATAACTATGCATTCACGTTCCTATTGTTCCTCGTTATAGTAAAATAAAACCTAATCAATTATAAGTGTTTTCCGTTATATCATACACAAACTCTTCTATACAGTACATCATCTCATTCCGGTTTCGTTTTGAATTCCATGTTTTTGTTTTACTCCAGTGTATTAAACTTGCCTTCCTAAAAACAACAGGTGTAGTGAATCAAATTCATCATCTCGCTTAATCACCGTTAACAACTAGATCACTCTCACAGTTTTTGTTTTATTTTCTTTTGCCTCGTTTACCTACTCTTCTTCTTCTTTTACAGGGCGTCGCACTACTTTTGATTTTAGTTCAAAAGTAATGCGCAGCTCTGCCTTTCTACCTAAGCCTAGACACTTCTCTTTCAAACGCTGGACACGCTGGCCAAGAGTAGAACTGTGTTTACAGTCAACTTTAACTATAATTATAGTAATGTTAGATTATATAGGAATCAATTGACGAAAAACTCCGACGCACACAGCGCACTTGGCGTTGCTTGCTCGTACTAATATTTTTTCAACAATTGTTTGTGTCGGACCAAAACAGCTTTGGATGGTTGGTAAATAGGAGGGGAAACCTAGAACACATTTGAACTATTTATTTGTTCCGTTTTTGTTTTCTCTTGTCAAACTTTCAACCGCAATCAATCTCTTCCAAACAGTTTAAAGTAAATTTACGCTACACGATCTCGATACGATTTGGTTTTGCTTTTCGTTAAATTTATACTCAATTAGAGAAGGAATGTGTGTATAGTTTTTCGGGTTTTCATTAGATTTGAATTTTTTACACGAGAACGTTTTTGACGGAAATAAAATCAAAGCATGTTACGCTACACGGTGCCATAGATTCTGTAATCTCAGCTGGAGCAAACGTTGTAAAGTTAATTAAAAATTGGTAGCACTCACATTTGTTTTAACGCTAAATGGATAAAATAAATTATGAATCGTAAGTTTTTCATTGATCTTATTTAAAAAACAAACACCCAACGGTATCCAGCTTTAATGCGTAAAATTAACATTACTGACTTATACAAGGGAGTATTGCTTCCGTTCAACCAGGGGAATTGAAAGCGTTACATTAGAATTTGTATTTTTTTTAATGTTGATAGCAGTTCGAAACGGATGCAAAAACCGTGCATTTGCTTTCTTCGTCTAACTTGTGTGGCTTCAAGAGCAGTGAGCAAAAACTTAGCAAATTCATTTCTACGTTGACTTAGGTATGCTTACTTGTTGTGGGACGAATATTTGTGTTGTTGTTGCTAGTCTTTCTGCATTTGTTTATTTCTACAATATCTCCGATTTTGCAGTGACTGCAGAAAGCTCCGATTAGCTATATTATAACTGTATTCTATGTTTAATCGATGTCCTTGCTTTTAAGAAGTTTAACAAATGTTGCGGTTTTTTGCCGGTTTTGGGTGCATTGCGTCGGTTGATTTTTGCTGCTGCCATTGCGTTGCCAGAACAGGGAGCGATTTGCATTAGTTTTAGCTAACAGGTAATGAACCTCGGTCCCACCATCACGCTCCCTACACGGAATCATCTGAAAAATACCAAACGAACCCATTAGTATTCTTGATGAACTAAATAACCATGGAGAAGCATGGTTTCCCATGCGAACACTCGTTGGTATCCGTTTCCAATGCAAACGCATGGGAGCCACCTAGCGCCCGATAGGTATGCAACCCGTCTAGCGCTCGCTTGCAAAGAAACAAAAAACTCACCATGATACCACCACTTCGTTTTCTTGGGGTTCTTATTGCAGGTTTTCACGTAAATTCCGTTGTCCGGTGGACGTCGCTTCTCCCGGCAGCTGCTCAGCATCGACGATATACTGAGACACACGGATTGCACTGATAACGCGGGCGACCTGCCGGAGGAGTTTATCACAATGTTTAATAAATTAGTAATTAGCTGTCTGTGCTCAGTGTGTTCGAACATACCAGTCATCTGTCAGGATCGATAGGCAGATGTGACCGTTCGAGTAGACGTGCGGATGCACGGGAATATTGGAACCTATGAACGTGACCTGAATAGAGCGAAAACAAAGAGAAAAGACATGGCACAGGAAATGCATAATTAATAATTCCGGCTGCGTTCAATCTTGCATATGAAAATTTCATCGCAATTGATTTGGTTGGTTCGGTGGCAGAATGTTGCATTAGTTACCTCGGGCGAATCGAAGGGGTACTTATTATTAAATTTGAATAACAGCTGAAAGTGTTCTCCCTCGTACAGCGTGCCTTCGACGCCGTCGATGTTGATAATCCATCTGGAAGAGAAAATAGAGAAGGAGAATGGAGGTAGAATCATTTATTAAAATGTATATAATTGTTAGGTTACAATAATTGTGATCTATGTATTTCTGATCTGGGCTACGGAATCAAATCGATAAATTTGAATAAAGGGCCGTTTGAAAAGCAAGTGTTGAATTCTTCTTGAATACTTAAGACTTTTAACCTTTTTTAATGAACAGTTATAAAGTGTATGTGGCCAATTGTGAAAGCGAACCAAAGAGTAACAACTTTGCCAGAATCAAAGCGACATACACAAAAGCCAGCAGGAGAATTTATCCCTGTCAACTAAATAGGCTGAATTTATAAAGAGATGACATGCCAAAATTGGAACAATCGATTATATGTCAAAGTCATAGGAAAAGTTATTCCAATGGAGCATAAGACCTGTCAAATGGATAAGATGTCGCCTCTTTACCCAATTTGGATCTCTTTACTGTCAAGCACATATAAATGCATACCACTGACAGCGGTAAAATCATAGAGGTAACTCTAAAACCAGAAGGTCCCGAAGAAACGTGCTCAACTTTTTGGCTCAGCTCTGGTACTATCTTCGGTTCCAAGCTAATCCATGCACCCCTAGAAACATAAGAAAATCCAGGAACCCCTCATTTTATCTGTCAAACTTTCATAGCAAATCAAAACAAACATAGTGTAGTACTAGAATTTCGACTAGAATGGGGTACGTTCAACGATGTACTTGGGATCGATAGGCTAGTCCAGTGTGAGCCAATTTAAAGTCGTTAGTTTCCACCAGTTTTCCAGAAAAGTCAGAAGAAATTTACGGGGAATGTTTGAATCAGTTTCTGAAGGAAGCCGAAAAAACTTTCAGAGTAGAACAAAAATGCTCTGCTGAAGGAAGTTTGAAGAAAGTTCTAAGAAAAGTCATCCGGGGAACTTCCAAGGGAAGCTAGAGGAAGTTTCAGAAAACCTTCGGAAGAAGCTCATGGAGAAACTTCCAGAGAAAGACGAAATAGTTTTCTGGGAGAATTCGACAGATAGTTCCGGTAGAAGATTAAAGAAATTTTCAGGAAAAGACGGAAACTTCCTGCAGACACTGGAAGAAATTCCCTCTTGTAGTTTGGAAGAAACTTCGGCAGAAGGGGTTTTCTGAAAGTCTAAAGAAGCTTCTAAAGGGTGATACGTTAAAAATTTGGTCAATATCAACTTGACGTATTTCTTTCAATTTTGCATTTAAAAAACCTGAACACCCCTCATTTTGAAGGTGTGTGTGTGTAGAATGTTGCTCCTATTTTGATTTTGGAATTCACTCTTCAGTTGTCAAAATGCCGTCCAAGCAAGAAGAGCAGCGTATCAAAATTTTGCTCGCGCATCGCGAAAATCCGAGCTACTCGCACGCAAAGTTGGCAAAATCGCTAAAAGTTGCCAAATCAACCGTTACAAATGTAATTAAAGTGTTTGGGGAACGTTTGTCGACAGCCAGGAAGTCTGGATCGGGGGGAAATCGAAAACCGGAAGCCGCTGAGACGACAAAGAGAGTTGCCGGTAGTTTCAAGAGAAACCCTAACCTCTCTCTCCGAGATGCCGCAAATAAGCTGGGTGTATCGTCTACAACCGTGCATCGAGCCAAAAAACGAGCCGGACTATCGACTTACAAGAAGGTAGTGACTCCAAATCGCGATGATAAACAAAATACGACGGCCAAAGCGCGATCCCGGAGGCTGTACACGACGATGCTGACGAAGTTTGACTGCGTGGTAATGGACGACGAAACCTACGTCAAAGCCGACTACAAGCAGCTTCCGGGACAGGAGTTTTATACGGCAAAAGGAAGGGGAAAGGTAGCAGATGTTTTCAAGCACATGAAACTGTCAAAGTTCGCAAAGAAATATCTGGTTTGGCAAGCCATCTGTACCTGTGGCTTGAAAAGCAGCATTTTCATAGCTTCCGGGACTGTCAACCAAGAAATTTACGTGAAAGAGTGTTTGAATAAACGTCTGCTGCCTTTCCTGAAGAAACACGGTTGTTCCGTACTGTTTTGGCCGGATTTGGCATCTTGCCATTACGGTAAAAAGGCCATGGAGTGGTACGCCGCCAACAACGTGCAGGTGGTTCCCAAGGACAAGAACCCTCCCAACACGCCAGAGCTCCGCCCAATTGAGAAATACTGGGCTATTGTCAAGCGGAACCTAAAGAAGACCAAAAAAACTGCTAAGGGCGAGCAGCAGTTCAAGGCAAACTGGCTTTCTGCGGCGAAGAAGGTGGACAAGGTGGCTGTACAAAATCTGATGGCAGGGGTCAAGCGTAAGGCCCGGTATTTCGGATTTGGAAAAGCGGAAGCCTAATTGAATATTTTTCCTGAATTTTATACTTATTGAACTTGAAAAAGAAATTTAATTTGATTTTTTAAATAAACGATTTCACCGATTTACACGCGTTTTCCCTTGACCAAATTTTGACCGTATCACCCTTTAGTAGAAGTTGAGTAAAGGAATTCTGGAAGAAAGAGATTACTAGGGGGATGTCGAATGAAAGTTCCGGGGGAAATCGGTAGAATCTTCTAGAGCAAATTAGCACAATATTCCAGGGGAAGTTGGAAAAAACTGACGGGAGAAGACAAAAGAGGTCAGAAGAAGCTTAGGAGGGAAGTCGAAACAACTTTTCGGGGGAATCGGAAAACAATGACCCAAGATGGAAGAAAATTCCAGGGGAGAGTTAGACGAAACTTCCAAGGGATTAGATTTTTCTTTATTAGGGAGGCTTTCAGCAGTTTAATATCTTCAGAATGATGCCTGATCAAACTGAAGTCTTGAACAAATATTCTGAGAACTTTTTGGAGATCTAAGGTCACCTGGCATTGGAATAATTTATGAGCAATCTAGTATTTGAGAGAATATCTGGGAGATGTGATTTGACCATCGGTCCGGCCTGGGATTTTTTCGGGTTAGAAAATTTCTCGACTTCCCTGGGCATAAGAGTATGATTGTACTTGCCACACAATTATACTAATGCAAAAATAGTACAGGCATCGAAAGCTCTCAATTCAATAACTGTGGAAGTACATCTAGATAGAACGATAAGTTGAGAGCACCTAAAAAGCGAATATGCGATAAGCAATAAGATTGAAATCCGAATAATAATAATAAGAAGAAGTTATTTGAATTGTTGGGCAGTTCAGAATGATTCCTGATCAAACTGATAAATAAAGGGTGTCCACGATGAAATTGCCACACTATGAAATTGCTCTAACTTTTTAACCGTTGGGTAGAATTTAATGAAAATTTGGGTGGATTTAGTTCATAGTGCATTATTTACATCCTGCAAGTTTTAAAGTCTTGTAATCAAAACTCACGGAAATGGAGTCGAAAGAACAGCTCGTGCGTGATAAAATCTTGCGCATTCATCACGAGAACAAGGATCTCTCGCATCGTTCCATCGCTAAAACGTTGGGAATCGCGAATTTCACGGTGTCGCGAGTGATTAAGCGGTTCGAGGAACGGTTGACCACTGATCGGAAGCCCAGAAGTGAAGGAAAAAGTATTCCGTACAACACCAAAAATCACAACCGCGTAGTTGGGGCCTTCAACCGAAATCCGAACGCCTCCGTTAGGGATGTGGCTAAGAAGCTGCACCTAAGCCGAAGTTTTGTCCAGAAGGCCAAAACTAAGGCTGGGCTTCGAACGTTCAAGGTACAAAAGGCCCCTAATCGCGACGAGAAGCAGAACAAGTCCGCCAAAACCCGTGCCAGGAAGTTGTACCTCAACATGCTGACGAAAGTTGAATGCTGCATCATGGACGACGAAACATATGTGAAGGCCGACTTCAAACAGATTCCCGGCAACCTGTTTTTCACGGCCAAGGATAAGTTCAGCGTTCCGGAGCATGTCCGCACTCAGAAGATGTCCAAATTTGCGAAGAAATTCCTGGTTTGGCAAGCCATCTGCACGTGCGGGAAGCGGAGTGCACCTTTCGTGACCCAGGACACGATGAACGGACAGGTGTACATAAAAGAGTGCCTCCAGAAGCGGCTGCTTCCTCTCCTGAAGGCCCACAACGTCCCAACAATCTTCTGGCCGGATTTGGCCTCATGCCACTACTCCAAGGACGTGCTGAAGTGGTATGCGGACAATAAGGTCAATTTCGTGCCGAAAATGTTCAACCCTCCCAACACTCCGGAGCTCCGCCCCATCGAGAAGTACTGGGCGATTATGAAGCAGCACCTTCTTAAACGACCTAAGGTAGTGAAGACAGTCGAGGAACTGAAGAAAGTATGGGTTTACATGCAAAAAACGGTTGATTCACAGGTTGTGCAGAATCTTATGGCCGGGGTTAAGACCAAGGTGCGGGCATTTGCGTATGGACTGTAAATAAAATACGAGTAAAATGGTAAAATGAAGTTTAATAGTTATTTCTCAATCCCTGAAAATTTGATGGCAATCGGATGAAAACTCGAATTTTGCGAATCAATTTTGTGTGTGGCAATTTCATCGTGGACACCCTTTATCTTGAGGATTTTTTTTTGCAGATCTCTGATCACCTAGAAGTCTTTTAACTCGTTCAGTTGAGAGAATATCTCAGAGATGTGATTTGAATTGATGTGCCAGTTGAATATCTTCATAATTAAAGGGTGATACGGTCAAAATTTGGTCAAGGGAAAACGCGTGTAAATCGGTGAAATCGTTTATTTAAAAAATCAAATTAAATTTCTTTTTCAAGTTCAATAAGTATAAAATTCAGGAAAAATATTCAATTAGGCTTCCGCTTTTCCAAATCCGAAATACCGGGCCTTACGCTTGACCCCTGCCATCAGATTTTGTACAGCCACCTTGTCCACCTTCTTCGCCGCAGAAAGCCAGTTTGCCTTGAACTGCTGCTCGCCCTTAGCAGTTTTTTTGGTCTTCTTTAGGTTCCGCTTGACAATAGCCCAGTATTTCTCAATTGGGCGGAGCTCTGGCGTGTTGGGAGGGTTCTTGTCCTTGGGAACCACCTGCACGTTGTTGGCGGCGTACCACTCCAT